ATAACTGCCTCTAATCCTGCCTCATTAACATCATAGAGGTAGGATTTACAACACATAGGAAAATCACATCAGATGACAAAATGGTGGACAATCACACAGTACTGGGAATCATGGCCTAGCTAAGTTGACACACATTTTTTGGGGACACAGTTCAACCCATGACTGTTGGTAAGTGCAGAAAGTTGGAAACAGCTGCTTTGGGAAATAACAAAACCAAACCCATTGCTGTTCAGTTGATTCCGATTCATAGTAACCCTATAGGACAGAATAGAACGGCCCCATAGCGTTTCCAAGGCTGTAATCTTCACAGAAGTAGACTGCTGTATCTTTCTCCCTCAGAGCAGCTGGAGGGTTTGAACCTCTGTGATGGACTGAATTGTGTCCCCGAAAGATGTCAACTTGGCTAGGCCATGATTCCCAGTATTGTGAGGTTGTCCTCCATTTTGTGATGTGTTGTAAATCCTAGCCTCTATGTTCTTAGTTATGGTCCCATTTGGGAGTGAGTTGTCCGTTATGTTAATGAGTCAGGATTAGGTCATGTTAATGAGGATTAGGGTGGGATGTAACACCCTTATTCAGGTCACAGCCCTGATCGATGTAAGGGGAGTTTTCCTGGGGTGTGGACTGCATCATCTTTTATTTTACAAGAGATAAAAGGAGAGAGAAGTGAGCAGAAAGAGGGGAACCTCTCTACCACCAAGAGCCAGGAGCAGAGCACATTCTTTGGACCAAGGATCCCTATGCTGAGAACCCCCTAGACCCAGGGGAAGACTGATGCTAAGACACATGGAGATCGCCAAGGAATGCCAGGCCCACAGTTGTTGAAAGGAGGTAAGGACCTTCCCCCAGAGGCAAGAGAGAGAGAAAACCTTCCCCTAGAGACAGCCCTGATTTTGGACTTCTATCTTCCTGAACTGTGAGAGAATAAATTTGTTTGCTAAAACTGTCCACTTGTGGTGTTTCTGTTATAGCAGCACTAGAAAACTCAACCACCGACCCTTTGGTTAGCAGCGGCCAAGCACTTAAGCACTGCACCACCAGGGCTTCTTTTGGGAAACACATAAGGGCTCAAACAGGTGACTAAAGGAGCTTGCAAGGGGCCAGCTGGCCAGCCTAAACCTGTGAGCCATATAAAACCCATACTGCCTACAACCTAGTGACTGCTTTGGAATGGGTCATAGTAAGCAACATCAAGCTTTGCCAGTTGGACAATAGCAGGTCAAAGGGAGAGGCTGGGGATGATCCTGCTGAGGGAGGCCCCTAACACACTTGTGTGAACAGCCTTTAGAAGAGTTAGTTCTTATGCTGAGCTGTATGTACACCTAGGGTTGTGGGCAGGTCAGGGGAGTTGGTTAAGCGCAGAAAAGCAGCTTGTTTGGGAAACACAGGAGGGTTCAAATAGGTGATTAAAGGAGATTGCATTGTGGTAGGTGGCTAATGGGGCTGGAGGTGAAGGTTAGAATTAAAACAAGATGAAGGAATATGTTTAAAAATAACTAGCAGACCAATTTGGGAATCCTTTGAAGTCTTCTGAAAAATAGATCATATTGATATCTGAGAATCATAGATTTCAAGGTTATCACTGAGTTTCCCTAATCACATTCAAATTACTTAGCTCTTTTCACAGCAGTTGCAATAATTATCTAGGCTGGTTCTTCTTTTTCTGACCCAGGATTCTTTATTTCTATTTCACTTTCCCAGTCGTTCTTCCAGCACCCGAAACCACAGATACTCAGAATTTTTTTCCACAGGAACTACATGCTCTCTCACCTGCCAAACCCATTTTAAATAGTTCAGTGGAGATTGCCAGAGAAACCAAACGGATTGCTTCTGTGTATTAGGGGAAAAGGCTTTTCTGAAGGGTTCCTAGATTTTTTGTATTACTTGAGGGCAGTGTCAGGCCAAGCAGGTCGGTAAAGAGCTGACAGTGTTAAGATTTTTGGTAATCTAATCCTTAATTTGTTGATAGATGCTGGGTGTAATCTACAGATTCTGCATAAACTAGCACTTACCTGGGAAACGTTTCTGCCAGCTGTCAAGTGCTCTTCCAAGTAGCTCTAAACTCGAGAATGCAGCTTTTGGGTGAGGGAGCAGTAGCAGTCATTTTAAATTGTGGTTAGGGAGAAGAGGGGTGGGGTGATGAAAGATTTCACCTAACCTACATGCTGCAGCTAAATTAGTTTCCAAAAACGTATATAACCTGAATAAAGACTGGATTGTTTACTGGTTAATACCGGCTTACACATTTTTTCTTTTTTGAAAAACCAAGGAATAGTGTTTAAATTTAATTAGAGATGTAAGAAAATTAAACCCAGAAATGAACCTTGAGCAGTTATAAAACCAGAATTCAGTGCTCTGCTGGATTTCAATTAATGTGTGGGCATACGGGTAGCTGATGAGGAAATGCAAAAGGAAGGACCATGATGGAATCTGATACAGTGGTACAGCGAGGAACCTTTTTTGTTTTACTTTTACCAGAAACACTAGGCCCTAAGTTGTCTTAAGATGAACCAATAAAATTGCTGACAGGCAACCATTTTTGACCTACAAAAATGGCAATTTCATTTTGTTCATAGATTTCAGTTGTCTTTTCCTTGTAAAAAAGACTTTAAAAGTTCAGTTCACAATATTATTAGTTAAAACACAGTCAACTGCAGTCAGTGTTAAGAATGGGGGAAAAAAAACTAAAACAAATTTGAGTCCAGGTAGATATTCCTTTTTACAGTTTTATATTAGGAACGACATCTTTCTAAGGTACAAAGCCCTGAGAAAACTGCATTACCACCTACTACAGTAACTAGTTTCTGTGCCCCATGACATTTGTCAGAGAACCTACCTGCTTTCAGTGGTATTTATATTCTTATCCTAATTTTGCCCAATTTCCCATTTATCAGGAGCCCTGGTGGTGCAGTGGTTAAGAACTCGGCCGCTATCCAAAAAGGTCAGTAGTTCGAATCCATCAGGCGCTCCTTGAAAACCCTGTGGGGCAGTTCTGCTCTGTCCTGTAGGGTTGCCGTGAGTCAGAATCCACTTGACAGCAATGGGTTTGGTTTTTCTCCCATTTATCAAAATGGCTGTATTGCTGTCCAAAATTAAAGCCAAAGGGGGAAAGAACAATTTTCAAAGATACTATTTATTCTATAGCTTGTTCTTGAAGCCACGGGTTCATGTCCATTGTCCCTCCTCCAAAAGTTTTTTTTTTTTTTTTTTTTTAACCTTTGACCACTCGTATGTTGGCATTTCTGCATCCCTTAGATCGGTGCAAACCATCCTATAAACAATGATTTATATGATAGATTTTTTTCTTCTTCTAAACTAAGTCTGCATCACTTATCCTAATCAGTAATTTATCAAGAACGGAGTGGTGTTTAAAGATCTGACCTTAGGCACCGAAGAATTAAGGTGGATGAAAGTGCAACAATGCTGCCAGGATTTAGTGAGAACTGCTTAAGTGGAGTGGCTAGGCTTGAAGCCGTACAGAGATTTGGCATATTTCTAATTGAAATGTTAGCTTAAAAATAGAATTTTGAAGTCAAATTATGTGGCTTATATTAAAAAAAAAAAAAACAAAAAACTAAACCCATTGGCATCGAGTCGATTCCAACTCATAGCGACCCTACAGGACAGAACAGAACTGCCCCACAGGGTCTCCAAGGAGCTGCTGGTGGATTTGAACTGCCAACCTTTTGGTTAGCAGCCACAGCTCTTAACCACTGTGCCACCAGGGCTATGGCTTACATCAAGTCACCCTCTTTACAGCAAGCCCAATTCTAGTTTCTGTTCTTCCATTTTCTTTCCTCTTTAACTTGTTGGAAACCACAAATACCTCATGTTCTGATTCTATTCCTGTAATTCCTTCTACTTCGGTACATTTTGCTTAATTCTCTCCTCTGATGTGCTTTTCCCTCTCAGGCACAATTCAAAGATGCTATCTAATCCACTATGCCACTAACTTAATGCTATTCCATATTGAAATTCCACTAAAACGACATCTATTTAAAAGGCTTAACTTACACAGAAATGTCAGCATTACTCTTAACTTCTATTTATAGAACTTTGTTACAGTACAGTTGCCAATGATTGTGTTATAAACTATAATCTAGTTGAAAAGAGCAAAAAAAAAAAAGTGACTACATCTTAACTACAGGAATGGGTCAAACCAACTTCTGATGGTCAGAGCTTTGGAAATGCTTTAAAACCTACTAGGACTGAATGAAAACAACTGCGTTAGGCAGAGACGTAATGCTGCGTGAACAGAGCAAAATGTTACAAACACACTAGCCATATTTTAATTAAAATAGAGTTTTATTAGCTTTTCTTTTAATACAAACATGAGAAAGAAAAACCACGTAAGTTGTAGCATTCTTTTCAAACTAAAACTGCAATCAATACTTAAGTCTCCAAGCTCCAAATTCCATAAGCAATGTTTTTGAGGTGGTAGATTGTAATATTTTATATACCATTATTTATCACTTATGCCTCTGTCCTTTATAAGTGACGGAACCTGCAGCACTCAATATAATGTGAAGTTTTGCTATGACAAGAGAAAGTATTCCTGGCCCATAAATGATTTGTATACAGGCAAAATTCCTAGGATGTACATTTGAGAAGGTAGGAGAAATAGATTTTAGAGAACAATTCTTTTTTTTTTTTAAACTATTTCAAATTTAGGTGACTTTGTATCCATCTCCTAAAATTCTTACTCCCCGCCCTTTAAAGCCTGAAGTTAGGGTTCCTAAGTTTGTGTAAGTTCCTTGTTTAAATAACAAGACTTGCAATGGGACAACTACACGTAGGTTACCATGTCGGATAACAAAGTTGTTTCATATCATCCATCACTATTAGGGTTCAATTTCTTTTATTAGATGTGAGTTACACTGCTCTTCATAATCTTCCTTTACCAAATGTAGAGAAGAGAAACTTAGGTGGTCAAAGCAGATAAACAGTTCACAGCCCTGCAAAAAACTATTTAAAAAAGTAAAGAGGAGGGCACGCCTATGGAGATGCAGGGTGTCCCAAAAGTCTTAGTGATTTGAAGCTTTGATACCTGTGGAAGTATAAATGCTACAAACTTACAAAACATCATCCGAAAGTTTAAGTTTCTTTTAAACTTAGTTTTGTAAATTTTGAAAATTTAAGCTTTTAATTTTAATTCTTTGTTTCAGTTAATGTTTGTCATCTTCAAGAGGGGCTGAAAAAAAATTAAAATTAAAAGCGTACTTAAAATTCACAAAATAAGTATAAGAGAAACTTAAACTTCCAAACGAGTTTTTAAAAGTGTGATAGCGTTTATACTTCTGCTGCAGTGCACTGGGGCTCTGAAGTGCACTTTATTAAAGCTGAAAATTGCACTAAGGCTTTCAGGACACCTTGTATTTCATTACCTGCTTGTTATCACTGGACCACCATGTTGGCTGGAATAACTAAAATATCTTTTAACACATTTATTTAACAAGTAAGAGGAAAATTATCAGAAAATGAGAAGCACCATTATAGTTCACAAGAAACGCAGCATGGACCCAACAGAAGTAGATAATCAGTAACTAATACTTTCCAAGTTTATGATCCCAAACATGCTGAAACATTAATTAGTGCTTGCAAAGAATTTGAATGACAGTGTTATCCAGCAGCTTTTTGGTTTAAACTGATTGCTAATAATGACTAGCAGCTTCACTGATATAGTAGGAAGAACCCTTCAATGCCTAACCATGCTACAGTCTCTGCTTCTAAGTGGCTTTTTGAGTTGTTAAGAGTCCCATGTTTTAATAGTAATACTGCATTGATTCTAAAGGCATATGCAGCAATATTTGGGGGGTGAGAGGGTGACAGGAAAAATAGGAAAACATAAAAGTTATATCATTAGTGTCTTTAAAGTCTAAAAATTTAGACTATTAATTAAAAAACCTCAGTTCACAGCTATCAGCCTACACAGTAAGCAAATATCTGTGAGCTTTCACTTTGAAGTGGTTTTTGTAACTCCGTTTATATTAAAAAGGACAGAAGAGTGTGTTGCACTGACAAGGTCCCATTCTTTCCTATGACATGTAATCCTTGCTGTCCGTGAGTCTCTTGAATTCGCTGTCCTTCCTTTAGCTGAAAATACTAAGTTTGCTGGTTTTTGAGCAGGAGGGGTGATATTTCTCCAGTCTTTGTAGATGAGGGGTTCATGATGTTACAACCCCTCATGTCTCCCCTTAAGAAAGGATAGCATTAGAGCGCTGAATACCAATGAAATTATCAGCACTGAAAGACCTTCTCATAGCAGCTCTGCACAAGTCTTTGTATTTGTCTTCACACAATCTGGAAATGGCCTAGGAAAAGCAATCAAATAGAACACAGGTACAAGAATTTTAAAAAAAGATTCCAATCTTAAAAAAGGATCACTGATGATAAGCCACATATCCAGACTCCTTTAGATCGTTCATAGTTACTGATACATTGGATATCTGAGGTCTACATTGCCAGGCTGTGGGGATGCTACTTCCTGCCAGTTCACTAAGGTGCAAAGAGTAATACCCTTTGAGGGCTATGATTAAATTTCCAGAGCAAGAGGGTACTTAAATTGGGCTTTCAAAGATGTCAAAGGTATTGTGACAGGCTCCTAAAAGCAGAATCATCTGTGACCTGTGCACTTGTTCATTAAACATAATGCACATACACTTGTGCCAAATCAGTGTTTATTCAGCTATTAGTCTATCCAACCTTCATTAGTTATTATACACTCTAAGCAAATTTTAATGAGGCAGGCATGTGCTGAACTCTGTTGGAGGGTATGAAAGGTCTACAGACTGAAGCACCAAAAAGTGCTATTATACTCACACACTAATTAATGGTACAAAAACGTATTATTCTACAGTACCACCGAGGTATCACACAAATGTCAATTTTAAGTATGTGTCCATTTCAGCTGTGGATAATTTTACAATTTTGCTGTATACTCACCAAAAATCAGAAGCTGTAAATATTACTTTGTCCCATAAAAATTACCATTCCCATTAAAAACCCATGTACTTTCTACACCCAGTATTTGAAACACCCCACACATTTATACATTTAAGTATAGGCCACTCTGCTTAGCCACTAATGCTATGTCTAATAAACTCATGGGATTGAACTGTGTTATGTAAACACTGACATGATTTTGCAAACTGAGTTAGACAGTCAAAAGTAGTAAGCAGATTAGGTATGTAGGTATAAAATCCTAAGAAATTATTCATGTATGGTTCTGTGAAGGTTCAAAAGGACAAACCATTGAAAACAGATTAAATTTCATTAAAAATATCTTGAATTATGGTCACAGAAGAGACAGTATCTATAGTTTATGTGGATCATAAAAGACACAGGAAATATGATGCCAAAGGGTTAATAAGCTCTTCCATGTGTTAATTTAAAAGATTTCCGTTTGCCTAATCACTACTTAATACGTTTAGCTGAAGATACTGGCTTCAGTGGCTGACAGAACACCCGCTCAGTGATCTCACAGGCTTACCTCTAGGTTCTGTGCTCTTTCTTTGCTAAGAGGTGCAAAGAGAAAACTCAGGTTGTTGTCATCTGCCAAGGAGCGAAGGTCAAAGTAGTATTTGGCATAAACACTAGCAGGAACATTAATATTAAACTGAAGTAGCTCCAAAAAATGCCTTTCCATTTCATTCCTGCAGGAGGAAGAACACAACAAAACCAACATGGGACAATTTTAGTCAACTGCACTATCTTCAAAAATATTCTAAGCTAGTAGGATGGCTCTAAATTCTGTTTTGAAACAAATAAGGCTCCCCCACTAGATTAATGCACTAGTGTTCGAACAAGGTACAGCTATTTGTGGTCCTTTCTGCATCCCAGCACTGGGAGTTTGGGATGAGGGGGAAAAGGTTATGGCCCTCTTATGCACTCGTGCTGCTGACTCGGGGGCTCATTCTTCAGAGTTCCATTAGTGCAGCTGTACGATTCATACTCCAGGCTCACTAACAGGCCCCACTATAGTGATCAGATGAAAGCAGTGATGTATGCTGTTTATTAGCTCTGAAGAACTTGCAGACATTTTCACCGGGCTGACAGCAGGAAGGGGCTTATTGAAGTAGATATACACCAACAAAAGGAGTGGGCACGTCACCACGGCAACAAATGGATCCATCGAGAGCCACTGCTATTATTTCTGAGGGGGAAAACCTCTTGAGGCAACAAGGATTCATCTTAAATAAATAAATAAATAAATAAGCAAGCAAGCTACATTCGCAGGGAAGGGAATACCCTCCCCCAGTGCAAGGCGCTATGTCAAAGGGCAGAACACAAGTTTCTGCTCACCTTCATCTTGCTAGGGTGAGAAACTGTCACTATGACAAAACAGGATACTCTTTTTTAAGCTTTGGAAGACAGATCAAAGATAGACATCGTGCCTAGACTAAATCCATTTTACAATATGACCTCTCTAGACCTGTGAACTCATGTGATGTCTCTCCTGTGTTGGGGATGAAGCCTTGAGATGCTGAGCACCCACTGCCCCTCCCAGAACAAGTAGACACACGTGCAGCCATACACGCAGGGGCCAGTTTAATCAAATAGGAAAGGAGAATGTTGGGAGAGTCTTTTGATATATGAACTTAACAAGTGTTTAAGTAAAAACATAAAATTGGTGAATCTTACGACCTTCACAGTAATCACATTAGAGAGTTATTAAAAATGATAAATACCTGAACAAATATGAGAGGTTTATCTGACAACACATTTAGCTTCTTGGTCTTAAAGTTTTAAAATATTATCCATGGGGAAGGTCAACAAATGCACAGTGTTCTCCTATATGGAGAACTGTTAGAATATGAGCAGAGATGTGGTTGTCTCATTTATTGAACTTAAAATCCAAATAAACATACTTCCAAAATTAATTTCCTGTTCATATAGCCGTAAGTCTATAGAAATGTAAATCAGATGTTTTGATAATCAGCTAATCAGGACTTAATTTACTACAGGAATAAATGCACTTCACTATCCCTTTTATAGTTTATCCATTAATACATTTTAATTGTGTAGAAATACAGTACTTCATAGGATTAACATGTCTATTAATAGAGGTTTAATCACTGAAGGAAAACATTATGTCCACAGAATATGCATCTTCTGGGTTTTTTTTTTTTTAAATGACTAGATGGCTGAATAGCATGCCATTTACAGGCAAAGCAAATTTTCTGAGTAGCAGCTGCTCAGTTTAACTTATTCTTTTGAAGGAAAATATATTCTACTAAGACATGTAGAAACTTTTAATAAAAATCAGACAGGACCCAATTTAAATTTTTTTTCAGTTTAGACTCACAATGAGACCATTACAGATAGCAGTCAATAGCATGGAGACGAAACAAATGTATACTAAACACTTTGTTGCAATGCTAATTTTGAAAGAGCAACCTGTTATAAGCATAGCTCCTGTTGTTTCTCTGTTTATACACAAAAAGGATTGTTAAGAACTAGTCTCCTGGTAGCCAAACCCTGCTACTACTGCTCCTGAAGTTCTCATCTGTGAAAACTTACACATTCCCTTGCGTGTTCTCTGATGCTGTAACTAGAACTAGGGTCCCAGCTGGCTTAGCTGCAGATTTTGAGAAAATACCAGCTCCCATCATGGCAGGGCTAGCATTCCTCCTTTCAAGGGACCAGTGTGAAGACTGATAACAATAGCAATCAAAACCACTTTGCTTCTGCAATTTCCCAAAGTACTTCAGTCTGTTGCAAATCTATTATGGAGATTTCCTTTGCGGCCACACCCTTCCCTAAGATGGGTGCCAGCAATATCACCATGACCACTCAGTTTACACCATTATCCAAGTGGTCATTTCCACACCAATAATCACTGATCTCTCTTTTAATCAGAAGTATCCTCACTTCCCTTGTAAATACAGTTTGGTAATTTCACATGATAGTCTTATCTGGAATAACAACAGTCAAAGGTAACAAAAACAAACTCTTGCTACTGCCTGTCATGATCTTGATCTTATGCTGCTCAATATAATCAAAGAGGTGTCCTTTCATATTTTCTTAAATGCCACCCACAAAGACATTTTCACTGTCAAGGGGGCAACTGAGCATCTTTGCTAGAAACCTCTCTCCAGCTTACCCTGTCTAGCACGTTCGGGGAACTCACAGCCATCAGGGAGGCCTGATCAGACGCCCTCATTAGGTTTGGTATTTTGGACTCATGTTAGCATGCAGTTTTTTGAGCAGCTTCATTACTAAGCCAGGCTGCTTGCACTCTCACAGTCAACTCAGGACGCCACACCAAGCTAAGTGTCCCAGGAGACTCTTCAAGTGGTGAGGACTGCGTGATGCCCAGTGATGCTTCTCAGACAGCCCCAGAAAGGAACTTCCAAACCCCTCAGACCTACCTCTAAATACACAGAACACTCTTAATAGGGAGGAGGCAGGAGCAGGAAGGATCTGAAACTTTTATGTGTGGCTATTTAATTTTGTCCTGCCAAGGAATGCCTATCTGTTTATCGCATGGTTTCTGGCACAAGAGATCTCCAATGAACAAAAAGAGGGGAGGGGGTGGGATCAGCAAAAGGAAATATACAATGTGTGACTCAGGTTGAAGCTATAACCTCTTAATGCTCCGGAGGCCAACTAATTCCTTAACAGTGGTCAAACACTTATTTCAAAGGCCAGAGGTATGCCCTTTATAAATGGACTGGGACTGGAAGACAACTTTAAAAGAGCCATATTTACTATCCTATGTTGTTCTGGTAGTAAGCTTATAAAATGTTTGCCAAAAACGATCAGAAAAATACATTTTAATTTATCACAAGCAGATTATTACAACAATAACAAAACAACTACCAATTAATGATGGAAAATATGAACTGTTATACCACAGCTGGAGAGAAAGAAGTATGTAGTTTTATGCCTATTTCAGTTCTCCGCAATGTTGTATTTATTGTATTTAAAAATATTTATTAAAATGTAAACTTTACGGGAGCAAATGAGGTACTGGAAAATGGTTAGAAAGTTCACCAAAACCTTACAAACTCACATGTCCTCAACTGTAATGTCCTTGAGGATCTGGCAGTAGTCCACATTCCATACAGCCTGATCGTCCCAAACCTTGGAGGCAAGAAGAATGGCTCCCAAAACAATTCTTTTCCAGTTAGTGGGACAAATGTCGATCTCAGCATAAGTTAAAAGCCTTTCTAAGTAAACCTGCAAAAGTAGAGCACTGGTCTTTGATTTTAGTTCAGTTTAAGTGCTGTGATAAGAACTGTTATGATAGATTGCATCTGTTTTTGACTAGAAAATGCTGTTTACTCTTATGTTCTACAGAGACTTTGCTCAGTCGGCCAGAACAAGAGGCCAGATCCTGGTTTTAAGTCAGATACCTCTGTTATCTACTCTGCCCATGCAATTTCCAGCCCAATTTTGGTCACAGGAATGACTGGACATTTCAGCAAAGGGCATCCTGTAGGAGGCACTCTGTTATGACCATCACACTCAAAAAGGACAGCATATACAGGCCTAGTGTGAATTAACCACGTTCAGTAACTACTCAAGAGCCTGCCATGTGCAATGTGCTGGCTGTTATGTAATGATTTTACACATATGTAGTGTTTAAATATGTAAAGCCCTAGTAATTCTGAGCATATTTTTATCTTCACCTTTTCACAATAACTAACCCTTTTGTGGTGCTAGCTTGAGGATACAAACTAGCAGGCAAGAGAGCCTCCCAGTGGCTGCTATGCAGTGCAGCATGCCAGGCGGCTTCACAGAAGTGCACTGCAGCCTGGTCTGCACAACGGTAGCACATCCCTGTGTTTAGGACCTTCACAAGGAACACATGTATGCAAAAGGATGCTCTGTCTCATAGCCCCTATTTCTCACGTCTCCATTATCATTTCATGATAACTTGTTTTCTGCCTTACATAATCTATAGCTTAGTCAATTCCTATTGATTAAAAGGCAGTGACAGACCAACCAATCTCTGTCCCTGAGATTCTTCAAAATCTGCCAGTTAGTTTGTGAGATGATTTCATGTATCATTTTACATGTATCAAACATTATTCTACAAAGAACAGGGTGAAGTTAACAAAGTTAGGAAAAGATTATAGAGGTAAGCTATGATTTGTTTACCTCAGATGATGCTCTGCATAAGGGTATATATGCTATTTGAACTCTTTGTATAAAGACAAAAAGAAAAAGTCAATTTTTAAACAGTATGTTTACTGTCTGAAAGTTATCAGATTGACAAATAGTTACTGAACATGACATCGTAGTCTTAGTGAAATTCTGCTCCCATTCCCAAAAGCTCAGTGCTCTCAAGTATCCTAAGAGGCACTTAAAATTGGCAATCCCCCACCTTCCTGCCCCCTTACTGGCAAACTTGTCATGTGCTGATACTCCTGTATACCATTTGCCCTTCTGTGTCAGAGAAAGTTATTTCTTTCTTCCTACTAAAGGCTACTTGATCCCAACCATGCCCACTTCTGCAGAATTATGATGTCTCCTTTTGAAGAACTTCTACAGACTTTCCCCGATATGAATGTGCTTTCGTTGTTCCCACTACACCCCTCACAGCCCCTAGTATGTTCCTCTCATTTTGTTCACAGTACCATGTCCTGATGCCAGTTTCTCATTTCCATTCTCTCCTTAATTTACTTTATTTTAGCCCATCCCCTGCCACTATTGCTCTACTGAAACTACTCTTCCAAGGCCATCAGTGCCTTCACACACACAAAGCAGAGCTCTTCATCCCAACTCTGCCCCCGGCTTCCCTAATAACCTGTAGCCTCAGTGCTGCTGCCAAAAACCTACCTATGAGTCATCCCTCTCTAATCTCTTAGCAATTCTTGTTAAAGGCACCTTCATCAAGGACCAATTCTTATTCTTCAGAATAAGAGTCACCACCTATCACCTCTCACCTGTATCACTGCAACTGCCTCCTCTCTCCTCTGCCTTCCAACTACAGTCTATTCTCCCCAAAGCAGCCAGAACAACCTCTTAAAGTAAGAGCCCTTAACTTCCATGCTCAAGATCTGCCAGAAGTTTTCCCATGGTCTACAAGCTACAAGGCCTGAGGAGATATGACGATGGCCCTCTCTGACTTCACCTCCTGCATTCTTTCCTTCATTTGTCACTCAGATCATACTGGCCTTCTTGCTGTTCCCTGAATATACTAAACATGCTCCTGCCTCTGGGTCTTTGCACATATTCCCTCTGCCTATAATGTCAGGTCTCCTTATCTTTACATGGCTGTGTTCTCAGTTCATTCAGGTCATTGTTCCAATGTTACCTCCTTAGAGAGGCTCTTCCTGACTATTCTATCTAAAATAGTAAACACTTATAATCACTTTTTCTCTCTTTACCTTGCTTTATCTTCTTGGTATACTATTACATGAAATATTCATATTTTTTAAAATATTCATTAAAAAGAAACACTGCTGTCTTCCTCAGTAGAATATAGACGACATAAAGGCAAGAACTTTGTTCAATCTGTTCCCTCCTCTATCCCCAATACTCAGAATAGTGGCATGGATTAGGTATTCCGTGAGTACTTAAAGAATGAGCAACTTCTAGCCCAAATTCATGCTCCAAGTGATTACCAGACATTGCCACTCTGCTACCTCACAGGTATATCAAGCCTTAATGTGTAAAATGAGCCCCCCTCTTCCAACCCAGATATTCTTCTTCCTGCCTTATTTATCTCTAGGTATGGAAGTACCACTCTTGCTCTCTTAGCATGTGCTAGGCATTCCAAATGGCCTGCAGCTCCTGAAAAGACCTGTGTCTGATCCAGTGCCTACTGACAGGGCTCTAGTCAAAAGCATATGCCTCCCCTCCTAAGTTTTAACTGGATGCTAAAGAGATAGGTACTGACCTAAGAATTCTCTCCTTCCAAACCATAAAGTTAACTTTCTTTTTAAGTTTGCTGTAGGAAGGAGTAAAACAATCCCAACCATCTCTCACCTGAATGGGATTTAAATGATAAAATCTTACCACAGTAATTCTGTATGGATGATACAAAGGTAGCTCAGCAGGCTAACTAGCAAAAGTCTTTCCAAGCACTACTGGCACTACCATCCTGGACAACTTCAAGAGCAGGCACAGAAGGCAAGCAGGTATGGGTTAACACCCATCATCCAAGGAATAGAGAATTTAGGGCCGTAGTTCTCAATCAGGACACACATCAGAATTGCCTGGGGACTAGCGCCTGGGACTCATCTTAGACCTACACTGAGTTGATCTCTGCCTGCGGGCCAGGTGGTCTTGTTATTGTTCCCCATTCCCCATAACAAACCACATATGTGTGCATGTGGGTATACTGCATGTGAATGTGTGGGCTTAGAGTAGGGAGGGAAAGAGCAGAAATCTCTCCTGCTGCCTTCAATAGCAACTGTTTTGTGATGGGAAAAGCAATGGCAACATTTTAAACTGTAATGATTATTAAGCTTGAATGTGTGTACTTTCCTTTGATGGGCTTCTCTTAATAAAGTTCTGATGAAAATTTCAGGAATCTACTTTTATTTGAAAAACAGGATCATACCATGGTGTATAAGACAGAAACTTCTAAAGATGTTTTATGACAGAAGAAATGTCTTACCAAAGTTACTATTGCACATTCAGCTGTTAGCTGTGCAGCGCTGAAAAGAGTACGGACAAATCTGTAAATAAATTTGTGTTCAGGATCATGTTGAAAGTATTCCTCCGGAACCTTTTCTCGCTGAAAGAAGAAAAGATGCAATATCAGTACCCACTAAAGAAAAATTCTTCAGTAATCTTAAGATAGCAGTGTTCATATCTGTGCCCACATGCCCCTTAAAATAATTTTGATTGGGTGATATATCTTTTAGTCCTTCAAATATAAACAATGGGATCTTAAAATGCCATAGTGATTCAATACCCACCACCAACCATTAAAGAAAAATACAGGCACAAATTTGTTGTTATTGGGTGTCGTCATTTGGTTCCGACTCATAGTGACCCTATGTACAACAGAATGAAATACTGCCTGGTCCTGCACCATCCTCACAATCGTTGCTATGTCTGAGCCCACTGTTGCAGCCACTGTGTCAATCCATCTCATTAAGGGTCTTCCTCTTTTTTGCTGACCCTCTACTTTACCAAGCATGATGTCCTTCTCCAGGGACTGGTCCCTCCTGATAACTCATCCAAAGTACGTGAGACAAAGTTTCACCAGCCTCGTGTCTAAGCAGTATTCTGGCTGTACTTCTTCCAAGACAGATTTGTTCATTCTTCTCGCAGTCCATAGTATATTCAATATTTTTCGCCAACACCATAATTCAAAGGCATCAATTCTTCTTCGGTCTTCCTTATACATTGTCTACATTTCGCATGCATATGAGGTGACTGAAAACACCATGGCTTGGGTCAGGTGCACCTTAGTCCTCAAGGTGACATATTTGTTTTTTAACACTTTAAAGATGTCTTTTGCAGCAGATTTGCCCCATGCAATTCATCGTCTGATTTCATGACTGCTGCTTCCAAGGGTGTTGACTGTGGATCCAAGTAAAATGAAATCTTCGACAACTTCAATATCTTCTGTTTATCATATTGCTGTTTATGGGCCTAGTTGTGAGGAATTTTGTTTTCTTTACATTGAGGTGTAATCCATACTGAAGGCTGTAGTCTTTGATCTTCATCAGTAAGTGCTTCAACTCTTCATCACTTTCAGCAGGCAAGGTTGTATCATCTGCGTAGCACAGGATGTTAATGAATCTCCCTCCAATCCTGATGCCTTGTTCTTGTTCATACAGTCCAGCTTCTCAGATTATTTACTCAGTATACAGACTGAATACATATGGTGAAAGGATGCAACAACCCTCACGCACATCCTTCCTGATTTTAAACCATGCGGTATCCCCTTGTTCTGCTGGAACGACTGCCTCTCGGCCTATGTATAGGTTCTGTGTGAGTACAATTTAGTGTTCTGGAAATACCATTCTTCACCATCTTATCCGTAATTTGTTATGAGACACACAGTCAAATGCCTTTGCACAGTCAATAAAACACAAGTTAACATCAAATACCAAGTACTTGGAAATAAACCTAAAAACAAGTTCAGAAAATTTACATTGTTCCTTTCCACTTTCCCCCTCAACAGAATTCTATCCAAATGTAAATATTTTTAGGTTTGAAAGTCTTAATGATCATCATATAGCCTACTTCTGTGCAATAAACCTTGAAACAACTTTATTTCCCTGTAACCTTAAGGCACTGTCCAACACAGTAACAGCAGCCACATGTGACTATTAAAGCACTTGAAATGTGCCTAATGCAACAGAGGAAGTGAATTTATTTTATGTAATTCTAATTTATTTAAATTGAAATAGTTTTCTAATTTTCTTCATAGAGATCTTACATAGTTATTCAGTTTATTTCCAAGTACTTTGTATTTGATGCTACTGAAAAGACACATCATCTGTTATTTGGGCACGTTGACTCACCTTGGCACGCCGATTAGACAAAGCTGCAAGTTCTCACTCTTATACAACACTCATAAGGCAGGGGGTGTGGGAGGGTGTGGATGTGGCAATGACTTTTTAAAGGAAAATGATTTTGACTTAAGCTGAAGGGAGTGTTTTTTCTTCTAGTAATCTCAAAGCAAATCAGTATGAAATAAACACAGCTTTATAAGAGAAAAGTACAACCTCAGTAAAGCTGACACTTACTGTGAGTGGATGTGATCTCTCATCAAAAATATCCAAGGATCTATTTGCATCTCTATAAAATAAGAATGTGCATTAAAAAAATGAATTCAGGAATTGTTAACATCTTAGTAAAATACCTGCTAGGAACAGAGGCGAAGCTTAATCTTCAACAAAGCAGTTTTACAAATTCTTCTCCTGGATTTTGCCTTTAAGTTTTCCCGGCTTCTTTTTATGCAACCCAAGTACTGTGAAATCTTTTCGACAGTGACCAGCCAGAGATGCCTTTAAACAGTGACCCTCCCTAACAAGCAATGCTAGTAAACCAAATATATTTCACTCCTCTAACCTCATACTGGAGCCCTGGCGGCACAGTAGTTAAGTGCTCGGCTGCAAACCAAAAGGTTGGCAGTTTGAATCTTCCAGCCGCTCCTTGGAAACCCTACGGGGCAGTTCTACTCTGTCCTGTGGGTTCGCTATGAGTCGGAATCAACTCGACAGCAGCAGGTTTGGTTTTTGGTAACCTCACATGGAATACACAAGAATGTTTTACAAGGCAATTGTGGTGGGCAATAAAGTCTTTAGAACTTTAATGAGCTTGAATATGAGGTTCAGATTTCCCAGGTTGTCTCTCCTTGGTTCTCTATATTTCTTCTTCTCTCTTTTAAACAGTTTGAGCTAAAAACTGTTTTTGTATTTTACAAGAGCCTTTTAGCTTATAAGTTCATCACACTAATACACTGTGCTCATTTAAACCAGTGGCTCTCAAAAGGTGGTCTGCAGACCCCTGGGGATGCCCCCCAACCTTTTCAGGAGGCCCTGAGGTCCAAATTATTTTCACAACAATACTAACATTACTTGCCTTTTTCATTATTTGACATTTGCAATGATTGTGTAAAAGCAAAAGTGGGTACATGCCCGTTCCATCAAGGCAGTGGTAGCAAACTGTAATAGTAATCATTCTATTCTTTGCTGCCACATACTTCAGATAAAAAAAAAAAAGCCGGCTTTGCTTAAGAAACACCCTGGATGAAACAGTAAAAATGGTGTCATTAAATCTGGACTCATCTTTTTAATCTTGTGAGTGAATAAATGGAAAGTACTCATAAAGCACTTCTGCATCTGAAGTATGGCTGTGTTAAAGAAGATGTGAACTAGCAGCTTTTTTCATAGAACATTTTTATTTGTAAGTATGACTAACAAATTGTCATTTCAAGAAAACAATGTAGTATTTGTTGCCAAAGATAAAATTGAAGCTTTCAAGCTAAAAATTAGGATTTGGAAAACTTTTATGTTCTACCGTGAACTTGATAGCTTAACACTTAGAAACTTGATACTTAAGGTTGGTGGCTCATACTAACAAAAGTGAATTTCTGACACTGTAAAATGAAATGTGAACCAATATTTTCCCAACAACCAATGCATATTATAAAACCATGTACAGGTAACAGATGCATTCAACGTGCAAGACAGACCAATAGGTATTAATTTAACAGAGTACTAAAAGTTCACTGATGTGGTTTAAAGTACCACTGTAACTAATTTAAGAAACTACCATGTGTGGTATCAAAGACTATCCACAATTATCTGAAGGCTTTTAAAATAGACCTTTTTCTGACTATATATATGCACGAAGCTGGGTTTTCTCATTGTTTCTTCAAAACAACAAACTGCAAAAGACTGAAGGCAGAAGTTGATATAACAGTCCAGCTTTCTGGTATTAAGTCACACATTAAAAAGACTTGTAAACCAATGATACACTTTTAATTCTTCTGTGGAAATAGTTATTTTTCATAAAAAGTATTATTTATTTTAACACAGTGGTTCTCAACCAGCGGCGATTCTGCTCCCCCTAGAGGACATTTGACTATGTCTGGAGACACTTTTGGTTGTCACAATGGGGGCTGGGGGGTTGTCATGGATTGAATTGTGTCCCCCAAAAAATGTGTGTAGCAACTTGGCTAGGTCATGATTCCCAGTATTGTATGATTGTGTTATCTGATGTGATTTCCTTATGTGTTGTAAACTCTATCACTATGATGAGATTTATGTGATCTCCTCGTGTGTTGTAAATTCTATCACTGTGATGAGGTTTTACTGATGAGGCTGACAAGATTAATCTCTTAATGCAATCACTTTTGAGATATAAGAGAGAGAAGCGAGCAGAGACACATAGGAACCTCATACCACCAAGAAAGCAGTGCCAGGAGCAAAGCGCATCCTTTGGACCTGAGGTTCCTACGCAGAGAAGCTCCCAGACCAAAGGAAGACTGATGACATGGACTTTCCTCCAGAGCCGACAGAGAGAGAAAGCCTCCTTGTGGAGCTGATGCCCTGATTTTGGACTTGTAGCCTACTGGACTGTTAAGACAATAAACTCTCTTTGCTAAATCCATCCACTTGTGGTATTCCTGTTAGAGCAGCACCAGATGACAGAGACGGGGTGATATTGGCATCTAGTAGGTAGAAGCCAGTTGTTGTTGCTGTGCTGTTGAGTTGATTCCAACTCACAGCGACCCTATATGACAGAGCAGAACTGCCCCACACGGTTTCCTAGGCGGTAATCTTTACAGGAGTAGATTGCCAGGTCTCTTCTCCCACTAAGAGGCTGGTGAGTTCTAACTACCAGTTAGCAGTCAAGCACTTAACCACTGCACCACCAGGGCTTCTTAGGCAGAGACCAGGGATACTGCTAAACACCCTACAGTGTACAGGACAACCTTTCACAACAAAAAATTATCTAGCTTAAAGCATCAATGGCACCAAGGTTGAGAAACCCTGTTAACATACACTGGATTTATTTTTTAAATTGTCAATTTTAATTTCTAAAACAGTAAATATTAATTTAACTAACATAAACAAATGCTCTTTGGGATCCTCAATTTTAGAGATAAAAGAACACTGAGACAAAAAACAAATTATTCACTTTAATATTGTAATAAAAGCACTCTACAGCTTACTCCAATAATGTCTATAGACATTACCTAACATAAACTTGTTATCATGCAAAGTAATTAGCTGGAATAACAAGACAGGTTTTAACAGAGCTCACCTGTTCTTTATGTGGTAATATATTGCTAAGGTCACACTGTGGAGGAAAAAAAATTATTTGTAAAAACGAATTTTATCATTTTTTAGGTATGAAGACATTTCTTTAAAAAGAGGGGAGAGAGAAGGGCTTCCGTGGCCCCCAAATCTTCTAATTCAGAAGAGTTCCTCACAGGCACTTTTTCCTTTGTTAGTTCTTTGGCTTTTGGCAAAAATAGGAGAATTAAAATGCTAGGCAGTGTGCATGAATATTATAAGTTATAATGAATATTATGATATATAAATTATTACATATTTCCCATCATTTGCCCTTCTACCCATGAACCTTTCATCCCGTGCAAGTTATATCTATTTGTACATATGCTTAAGTTTAAGCCACGTAGTGTTTATTTTCTGTGCTTTTTTAAAGTTGGTAGGTACTGCATTTCAGCTGATTTTAGTTCACTATTCACCTGCTTCACCCATTTTCCATTATTTCCCTAAAAGTAAATTTAAAAAGGTACTTTATGCCAGATAATATCATTTAAAATTATTTTGCATAATTATTAGTAGAAAGTTTATTAGCAAATTCAAGTATCTATAAAGTCATAAAATCGACGATGAGACTAGCTATTCTTATATAAGCAGTGCTAGCAATGCAGCATACTACTACACAATATAATACTAATGGCAAGTATTCTGAAATCAGTTTAAATGAAACATTAATCAACAGATACTCTAAGTTACTGCATTCCTAAATTACCCACAGCTGTTGTGTACTAGGGACCAGAGGGCTTCTCTTGGATAAATTTTATGCTTCCACTTGCCCTCAGTGCCTAAAATGAAGCTCAAAATAATTGCGGGAAGGCAAATCTGAATTTTAAAAGTAGATCTACAGAATATTAGCACTTTAAAAAGAAGCTGTTACTTCTTTGAAAATGTGCTTATGGAGTTTAAGATACCTTTTTAATGAACAAGTAACATTATTAGCATCAAAGATGGATACTTCTACAGTGCTTCAAACAGTTTCATCTCCAAAATAATTTTAAAATCACAGAATTTGAAGCTGTATACTGAAAAGGACCACCAAACTTTAGATGCCACTTAATCCAACAACCTGTTTTACAGATAAGGGAACCAAGGCTTAAAACTGACTTGCCCAAGGTCCCATCAATGGTCAGAAGCAGCTCTTTCTACTATTGCAATCACCTGAGAATCTTTAAAAACTGCCCGCCTTCCACCCCCAGACATTCTGGTTTATTGACACTGGGTACAACTTGGACATCAGGATTTCTTTTTAAATCTCCTCAGGTGATTCCAAAGTGCAGCAAAGTTTAGGAACCACTGAGTTAGGGTTAAGATCAGAATCACCTGGGATGCTTTTGGCCATATAATTATGCCTCACATATGCCTACCAAAAGGTTTGAGAGTATATAAATGGGGGGGGGGGATGTAAGAGGGGAGAGCTTGAACTTGTTTGCCGACATATATTTTGAAAAAAATTGCTCGCCAACCCCACTTAGAACAATGTACTATTACACAATAACATTTTCAAAATCCTTTCTAAAAGCCAATTTGCCCTATTAATTTGCTAAGTAAATTTGTTCTCTATTATACTGAAGAATGTTATTTTTAAAACTTAATGACAGCAAATTAAAACTTACTGTACTTCCAAAAGCAAATTTCTAAAAATTAGACTATTTAAACTGGAAAGAAGCATAAAACCTACTTGTTTGAAAAAAAATTAGTCCTAAAAAAAGCTACTCTTGAATTATAGGCAGTCCTCAGATTAAGAATGAGATGCATTCCTAAGCCTGTCTTTAAGTTGAATTTGTAGGTAAATTGGAACAGGTACATCCAGTTCTTACTTAGCCTAACTTTAGTGCAAGAAAAGGCTCAAGCTTTTTCAATGATTTAAAAGCTGCACGTACATCAAGCGACGGTGACTGTGATGAAGAATTTGCTGCAAGTAGGAGTTGGTTCAATTGTTTCAAAGTGAGGGCAAATTTATATAACATTACAGTGCACGGTGAAGCAGCGAGTGCCATTCTTAAATACAAGCTGTCCTTAAGTCAGACGTTCTTAACTCAGGGACTTACTGTATATACTGAACCATCAGGATCTTTTTAAACTCAAAAGAAGCTGGAGACTTTAAAGTCTGTTTTTCACCCATGGATTTGGGCCCATGACTGAATAAAAACATTCAGTGATTACTAAATAGGTGCCAAGGCTCAAGGTTCAGTTTTTGCTGAAAAATGATTTGATCTTAACTACTGTTACAAGCGAGAGAGGAAACTTCCATTATTATGGTTGTGAACTTGCTATTTTTAATTGAAGTATAAAAGCTTTAAAAAGCTGGTACATAAGAAACAAAATTAAGTTTATAAGCTAATTATGATTTTAAGGTTGAAAAATAAAATTGGGGGTATTAATATTCTAGACTAGTATTTCCCAAACTGTGTTTTGAAAATCAGCGCTCATTATCTCGAGATGTTAATAATGTTTCCTGGACAACCCCAATAGAGTCAGGAAGCTCTGCACAGTTTTTTACATAAGCTTGAAAGGTTTAGCTTGGGATGTTTTGAAAATGCATCTCTAAGGTATCCCCAGAAATGAAGAATAGTTGTCATCATCATGACTGTTCACGTTTGCTTAAGTACAGACCTGACCACAGCTATGTTTCCAACACTTCATCTCTTTCATTATTCCCTGCTGAACAAAGTTCATCAAGTAAGAAATTAAACTTAAGAATTTGTTTTTTAAGACTGGTTGAAAAGGAGAACTGAATTTTCATACAGAAACACTGCAGAGGGGAAAAAGCATGAGGCGAAAAATCTGACAAAATTCAATTAAATTTAAATGCAGATACACTCTGGTGCCAGTAGGGGACAAGCTGTCCCTTCTTCCAAGAGTAGCTTCCAAGGTAGTACACACTGTCTTAGGCCTATAACTCACAAAGAACTAATTTTCTCCTAGAAACACCCAATAAAAAGCACCTCCTTCTCATTATGTTCAACAATGTCATGACAATATAAATCCATCAAATAAAGAGGAACACTTTTCCTAAGATTCCTTATTTGCTAAATTGGCTTCCCCCTTCTACCATGCACTATAGGATTAAAATGGAAATTGAAATTCATATTTAGGTCCTTGAAATCAATATATACTTGACACCAGTTTCTTAAACTGATCACTAAAAAGGACAATCAAATGACTAAGACAATCATGTATAGCTTGGCCGCTTTTAGCATAGGGGGGTCTGTCACTCAGCCTTGGCAACCTAGTTGTACTCACCATTTTATTGTGGTTCTAAGATTAGGCTGGCTGACTGTGCTGTCATCTAGAAATATTGTTGAGCATGAGCTATACTTTTTAGTAAGCTGCCCTGGAGATACCTGAAGGGGAAGGGAAATAGAAGAAAATGTCACAGTAAGTTAAGTCTATAAAAGTGTGTTTTTCCTTCCTTAGTTAAAATGTCAAACGATAAAGCATTAAGAAATTTCTTGCACTTCATGAACTGCCTGAGTGTGATATCCTGTGCGGCCGGCTATATGGGAAACCCATTGGACATTCTAATTTCCACAGAAAACATTTGAGGAATGGGTTATAAAATGCTGCCCTTGCTTTGGTACATATAATCGAATCTGACAAGCATCTATTACAAATACTATTCATAATACTATTTGTAATTATTATTTGGAGGACTAAATTCTCCTTTAAACCAGAAGTTTTTTTTAATTGTATCTAAACTTATATGTTTCTTAAGCTATTTAGTTAATGTGTAACTTTTATAATTTCAAAAACATACAGCATGAAAAATGAAAATAATGTAAAAAGTTTAGAATAAGATTTCAGTGTTTTTTTCCTTAAGTAATGAAAAGCAGATGAGATTTTCTATTTGTACTATTCATTTACTGCAGTAAAATGTAATGCCTTAAGTAATACTGACATGAGAGCATTTTATTGCAATAAATGAAAGCCAGAAACTAATAAACTACTAATAAGTGTATTAGTTCAGGAGACAGTGTGATGAAACAAGCGATGTTTGAGGATCAGAGGCTCTTCGTGGCAGGCTGCTCTGACACTAACAAGCTAGTGGGCCAGAGGTCTCTCTGGGCCTCAGTTTCCTGATCTAGAAGATAAAAAGAATATTGCTTTAAGAGTCTCTCACATCCAAAAACCAGATAACAAAACCAACCCTGGGAATTTACTTTCACTTTATGTTTAAATAAAACTGCCATTATATTACTCAAGTGATAACCTCAGAGGATGCTTTCCATTCATTTGAGGAATTTATTAATTTTATTCTATGGGTTATTTGACACACATAAAGACACTTTGTGCTCACACTGCTGTCTGCCTGCAATGCCCTTTTCCTCCTCCTTGTCCCAGCCAGCTTGAGCCCAACTACTTTCCGAGAACCTTTACCAACAATCAACTACACCACAAAACTGTTCTTCTGTATGGCACACATCTAGTTTAACACTTGTTATATGATAGTGATTGCTTGCAGGGTATCCCGATAAGACAGTAAGCTTCTTTAGGGAAGGGAGGAGGACTCTTCTACCTCCAGCTGCCAAGCACAGAATCTGAGGCAAATTCAGCAAGTATTTGACAAATTACTTTTCAAAATCAATTACAATTTGGAAGGTAAATCTTAATACAGATACAATTTAGTGAGAATTTATCTGCAGTGATACAGAAGTGGCAATGAATTTGTACAGCTCTCTAGAGAAATTAGCTTTAAAACACTTTAGAAGTATCCATTTATTTGCAAAGAGTTCAAGAATATAGCAATAGTCAGATACTAAAATAGCCTAAACTATGTTGACAATTCTCTTCTTTAAAAATAAGACCAATATCCAAAATCCCAGTCACTTTAAGTAGTTGAATATAACAATAGCATTCTTTAAGCCACAGAAAACCAATGATGTGTGTTTTTTGTTTTGTTTTGTTTACTAATTCAGATGAGCCTTCCTTCCTCCTAAAATAAAATCATTTTACCATGCTGTTACAACAAGTACATGAAAGGCAGGGCAGGGAGAAGATCTGGTTGATGCTTTTTAAAACACAGAGCATTTAAAAACTGCCAGTAGCAATAATCAGCAATATCTGTATAGTACATAAAATACCATTTTCCTTGTTCCAGATGTTTTACTGCAAAGCCACATACTTCTTATTAACAAAAAGTCCTAGATGTTATATTTTTGAAAAGTATTACTTTTTGGAGGACTAACTTCTCCTTCAAGCCAGAAATTTTTAAACTATATCTAAATTCTGATATGCTTCTTAAGTTATTCAGTTAATATGTAATTTGCTTTTATAATCTCAAAAACGTATACAGAATGTGAACTGAAAATTCATTCATTCAAATACTTTAAGTGGATGGAGATTATCTTTTAAGGTCACTACTCTTAGGGGATAACATGGCATACACTACTGCAACATAACAAAAATCAACTCTGACCAAAACCCCACACATAGGGGGAATAAAAAGAACAGAAAGGAAATGTACCAAAATATACACTAGTTGGTAGAGCTTTAGGTGACATTTTCTCCTATTTAAAAAATTTTTTCCTATTATGAATGCATATTGGTTTATCTTTGAAAATATCAGAGCTAAAACATTTAAAAATTTTAAATGTTGGTCTCACAGCCCTATGGGGTTTAGTGAATTTTAGTGATTTAATGAGTCAGGAACTTCTGGTCTACTGGTGAGACACAGCCGAAGAAACACTGAATGCTTCCCCATCAGTCCAAGCCTACTCTAAACTCCTGCTTGAAAACAGATTGTGGAATTATCCACTCCAGGGCAATGGCCAGAAACAGCTTTTTTTTTTTTTTTTTTTTTTTTAACCCAGGCCATTCCCAAATTTAAAGGTGACCAGAAAAAGATGAATGCAGGAACGCTCTGTACCTAACATCTAAGCAGGGGACAAACCACTCACTTCTAACTACTTGAACTTTTCCATATCAAGAACACTCATACTTCTCTTAGACTAGAAGCTGGCAGAATTAAGTGTCTGAGCAGAGCCTGGATGTGTCTGCCATCAGATTACCTGCCCCTCATCTTGCTTAAGAATTTAAGACAACTGTCCTCTGTGCTTGAAGCCTTGCCATTGCTGGTTCACAACCTCAATAAACTACACTGATAAACATAAAGATGTAAAAGGTAAATACTGAAAAAAATCAACTGCAGAAACACTACTGACAATTTAGTGTTCATTAGTATTATTTCGGTTGGTCATTAGGCTAGACAGGGACAAAGAAGAGTATTGATCTTACTTCATTCATTTGATACAAGTAACAGAGAAGATGGAATTTTACCATCTTTAAAAAAAAGAAAGGGGGTATCTGGTAGACTTAAGGTTGAATGGCAACACTAAAAAATAATCATACTTAATATGATCAGTAAATCACAACCCAAACCTTACCATCAAAGGTCAGGTATGTATTGATATCCTGTCCTCACTCACTGACTTTTCCCATTGTGTTTAATGCCTCTTGTTTTAACATACTAAAAAATAAAACTCAAGTTCATTTTTTTCTCTCCCCTTGTTTACCAGACAAGTTTTAGATATGCATGTTAAGAATTAATGACTTTTAATTAACATGAAAATTCCTAACACTTTATACATTAATGAAGACTATTCCATCTACATTGCACATTATTGGGACAACATGGAAGGATGCCTGGTTTAAACAGAATTCTTCATCAAGGCCTTAGTAGGAAAGTAGTATGCTAATTATATGCTAGGTATAACTAAAAAACTGTCTGCATTAGTATCATCAGTCACATTGAATTAAAACTTCAAACTCAGATTTGCACTTTAAATATAGGTCCTAAATATAAGTTTGGACCGACCACAAATCTATTTCCTCTCCCTCCCGAAATCTCACTAGAATTACTGTAAAGGCATTTAAAAGAAGGTTACACTTCATAAGATTAAAGACCAGGAGACTAGGAGACAGGATAAGCAGCAGATGATTTTTAAAAATGTTTGAAAGATGAAAACTAGATAAAAGAGTGGTAAGTGACTTGGCATAACAGAGGAAGCACAACCTTGGTGCCTACAGTCAGTGACTCAGACAGAAGAAACAAGCCAGTCTGTCTTGCAGAACCCAAGCTGGGTACAGAACTCAGAGGGCATAAGGTATCCTGGAAGATAGGGTGAAACATGAAACAAAAGACAGGAAGACCAGTTGAAAACCCATGGTTAGAGGCCCAAAACCCACCCCACTGCCACTGAGTTGATTCCAATTCATAGTGATCCTACAGGAGAGAGTAGAACTGCCTCCTAGGGTTTCCAAGGCTGTAATCTTTATGGAAGCGGACTGCCATGTCTTTCTCCCGTGGAGCGGCTGGTGGGTTCATACTGCAGACCTTTTGGTTAGCAGCCGAGCGCTTAACCACTGCATCACCAGGGCCCCTCTGGTTAGAAGCCTAGGTCTGCCTGTTCCATCTCATAGGAATCCAGAAGTTTGTTCTTTGGAGATATTAAACCTGAGGGTTTCTGAAAGCATAGATACCACTCTCAGGGCAGAAACCTGGTAAATCAAAAAATACATACACTGAAGGAAACCCCAGTGGCACAGTGGTTAAGTGCTACTACGGCTGCTAACCAAAAGGCTGGCAGTTCAAATCC